CGCGCGGGCCCGAAAGGTGCAGGTTTCCTCGCGGTCGAGAGCGATGGCGTCACCCGGTTCACCAGGGCAGCCGTCCTCCCTCACACTCACATCACACACAGACACACTCACGGACACCCACACCCACAAACCCGCGCCTTCACCATGTATTCTCGGTCTCACACACACACACACACACACACTCACGCAAAGGCTCACATACACATATCCAACATTTACACTGTCACACTGACACACTGGCTCAGTCACACTCACTCTTACAGACGCACAGGTACAGACTCGCTCACGTGCTCTCCCATTCCTACTCACACATGCATGCTCTGCAACACAGGCACACACCCATGCAGACACACCTGCTGCCCCACAGCCGCACGCACACCAGCAGGCCCTCTGGCCAGGGCACTTAGCCGAGAGGTCTCAGCACGGGCATGGCTGGAGCCCCTTCCTTCCCCCCTGGCCCCTGCACACCCAGGAAGGTGGTTTTGGTCAAGTGTGAACAGGGAGGCCAGTGTGCCATCAGCTCCCAGAGCTCCCAGCTGGCCTGGACGCCTCTCCTTCTTGGACCCCAGGCCTTCTGGGGCCTGGGCAGCCTCCAGGGCCAGGGCCAGCCTTTTCTCCAGAGGCCTCAGCCCTCTGTTCCCTAACCAGTGGTTGGCAAACTGCGGCTCGTGAGCCACATGCGGCTCTTTGGCCCCTTGAGTGTGGCTCTTCCACAAAATACCGACGTCTGCGCATGGGCCACGGAGTTTCAATTGCACTGAATGTGCGCGCCCGCACGTGGTATTTTGTGGAAGAGCCACACTCAGGAGCCAAAGAGCCGCGTGTGGCTCCTGAGCCGCAGTTCGCCGACCACTGTCCTAGCTCATAGGTCGATTGCCCTAAGCTCCAGGGCCCTCAACGTCCTCCAAGATTACCCTGCCCCGCTGGGCCTGCAAGCCCTGAGCATGGAGGCCTGTCTCTGCGAGTTCACAAGTCCACACTGAGGAGGCAAAATGGGCTTGTCACGTTTCTCTTCTCAGCAAGACTTTGTACAAAGATTCCTGGACCAAACACACAACATAATATAGACGATGTATTATAAGCGCTGTACACCTGAAACCTATATAAGGCACCTGACCCAAGGTCACCCCAATAAATTCTATAAAAAATAAAGAAGTTTCCTGGAGTGTGGCCAGCTTAGGCCAGTCCTCCTTGTATCTCTCGGTGACTCATGGGACTAGAGGCAGGAAGTCCAGGGCCTCCTCCCGCAGCCTCCCCATGGGATGTCCCAGAACTCTGAACAGTCTGACCAGGCTGATGGGACTCCCTCATCCCAACAGGTGCAGCCACAGCCGTGGGGCCTGGCTACCCAGACTCAGCCAGGCCCCGGTGGCGCCCCCGCTCAGGCCACGAACAGAGCACAGCTCTCTGAATTCAGACCAGAGAACCAGAGGTGGCTGCCATTCACAAAGCAACCATGTCAGGGTGACAGGCCGGTCCTCGCACACAGCCCCCGAGCTCTGAGTTGAACCCGAGTCACCAGACTGGTTCCCCCTCCCCTCATGGTGGGTTCCCCTCTAGAGCTTCGGGTGTCCCTTCCTGCCTGTCAGGAGTTGCAATGACACTGACCTCAAAGGATCATGGGACCGGACTGCATTCCCTCCCCCAGGCTCTGAGGCCTTGCACGTTTTCCCACCTCCCCCCAGGTCCCCAGGCCTTGAACACCATCTGCCAGGTGCCCCCTCCCACCTACAGCCTCACCATCACAGGGGACCTATTTAAGACTTGGCCAAAATCAGACTTTGCCAAAAATTTCCCAGGCTGCACTACGTATGGTTCTTATAAAATAAGCAACTAGGTAGACATTTCAAAGACCTGCCAGAGGGGTTTTCTGAGACTCCTCCTATTCTCCACCAAATCAATTACCAAGCAACATTCCGAATGCAGATGCAACCATCGTCGAGCCCTCTTCTGGCGAGACCTGCTCCTTCCCATCTCTCCCCTTCCTCCTCCTTCTCCCCGCCCCCAACTGAGCAGCTATGGACCCCTTGCTATGGGGGATTGGAGTGAGCGTACAAGGATGTTTGCCCCAAACCCCGCAACTGCTTTGGAGGCCAGCCTTCTGCCCTCTGCAGTTATAGCTGCTGAGCAGCAGTGATGGACAGCAAGGAGAACCAATCACAGCTCTCTCCTTGATGCATTTCAAAGGCGGAACTCTGTGTTCCCTATGGCAACGTGGAACAACAAGCTGACACCATTTCTGGACAAAGACCTGTCTCCCAGGAATGTGTGTAGCATTACAAGTTTGCTGCACGTCTGGGAGAAGTGCACACAGAAATCAGAGGGACTCACATCCATGTAAGACTCAGAAACAAGAAACATCCGCTGCACAGCATGATCAGGCCCTCAGTGACACCTCCCCGCAAAGACCATCGCCCCAGGGGTCCAACTTGGGCTGAACCGTGCTGGCAACGTCTCCCACTAAGACATGTTAAATATGCATCAGGAGGGACTCGCACACATGGCACAACAGTTACTAGTTGTTCAGACAAGAGGGTTCCGAACTTTGCATCCCGGGGGTGGCTGTGACCACCGGCTCCGCTCCGTCCTTTCCACCCCGGCTGTGTCGGGGCCCCCTGTGCTCCTGCCCTGCTATTCACGTGAAGCATGTGAAATAAGCTACGATTGAGAAAGTCAACTACCACTAGAATCCCCAAACTCGGGCATGCAAGGCCTTTTGAGAAAGCTGAGGCTGGTGGTGGGTGAGCTGGTCTGTGAGCAGTTCCCAGGGACAGCAGATGGGGGAGTTTCTTTCTTTCTTTCTTTTTTTTTTTTTTGCGGGGCGGGGTGGCGGGGACGGGAATTTGCAGTCTGGAGACCAAAAGGGGTCTGAGTAGGCCTGTAATTGTCAGACCTCCCCTGCTCTCCAGCCTGGGTAGCAAGGATAAAAAATGATCAGATTCACAAATTCAGGTTGTCCCTACACCTCTGGCTCACCCATTGTCCTCAGACGGTCATCTCTGTGAGTGATCTGCAACGTAGGCGATGTTTCACAACTAACCGAGTTTGAATTTCCCTCTTCCATTTCTCAGCATAAATGCAAATAGCGAGCTCATGTCACAGGAGGCTCTCACAGTGCTACGTGCCGATACTCATGGGACAGTCTGTAGGGCTTCTTTAAGTGAATAATTAGCAAGCTACTAAATAACCCTCCGTCATTCTAATAAGAGTTTTCTGTCTGGTCAGGACCAAGAGGTCACGGTTTGATTCCTGGTCAGGGCACCTGCCCAGTTTGCGGGTTCAATTTCCAGTGGGGGCTGTGTAGGAAGCCGCCGATCAATGCTTCTCTCTCATCATTGATGTTTTTCTCTCTCTCCCTTCCTCTCCCTTCCTCTCTCGGAAATCAGTAAGAATACATTTAAAAGAGTTTGCTAAGCACCAGCTGCCCCGTACTTCCTAAAGTCTGGACGAAGGAGCCTGGGGCCGTGGCTGAAGGGACAGGGCTGGAGGGGACCTCCACCTGGGCTCTCTGCGGACCCCTGCGGGGCCCAGGCATCTTGGGCATGTTCCTGGGCCTCTCAGGCTGAGGTGCCCGGCTTCCCCGAGGTGCTGTGCTTCCCCTGTTCTGGGGTGTTCAGAGTCAGGCAGGCAGGGCTCCTGCCGAGTGAGGCTGCCAGGGTGGGCACCTGAAGCAGGTGGCGGCCCCAGTGGCCCTGTCACAGGAAGTGGCCTTTCCTCCCTTGCTGTTTCTTTTTGAGTATGAGGCAAACCAAAAAATTTCCCCGCAGATGGTTTAGGAACCAAAATTGGACACTGACTTCGGCGTGGGGATTTTGCCCTCCGGGTAGGGCACTTCATTCTGCAACTCCAAATGCAGAAACTGCCCGACAGGCCCTGAACACAGCCCTTCTGGGCAGCCACTTCCAGGTCACCCCCAGAAAGGACAAGGGGAGCTCCCTCCGGGGAAACAATTTGAATAGGCGTGGGCCTGTCTGAAGTTGTCCGGGGAACTAGGACATGGGACCGGGGTGCTCCCTCCTGCTCTGACTCAGGTCGATGTGATATCTTGTTTCCCAAAAGAAAGCAAAAGGTTAGCCTGGCCGGTGTGGCTCAGTGGTTGAGCATCGACCTATGAACCAGGAGGTCATGGTCAGGACACATGCCCAGGTTGCAGGCTTGATCCCCAGTGTGAGGCCTGCAAGAGGCAGCCAGTCAATGATTCTTTCTTATCATTGATGTTTCTCTCTCCCTCTCCCTTCTTCTCTGAAATCAATAAAAATATATTTATATATGTATTTTTTTAAAAGGTAGAAAAGGATGCAGGAAAAGTTCCCCATTTTTTCCAGAGCCTTGATTCCATTTTTTCCTCCATTTTTAAGGATAAATAAGATTGATTTTACACCAGGATCAGAAAAAAAATAACATCCATTTATGGATCTTTGAAATAGTCATTCATTCATTCATACAGCCACATGTCCGCTAGGCAGTTGAGAAATCAGATCTACTCTGAGCCTATTCTGCTTGTAAATCCCCCAAAGCTGCTCCAGGCTGGGGTGGGGCTTGCAGCTGCCCCTCCTGGGGTCCCCACGAATTAATGCCCTTGAAGGTGTCCCCCCAATCCTTCCTCCCCACTGTCACTCCGCCTGCATTGTGTAACTCCCTGGAAGGCCTGTGAAGACAGGCGCCTCCCACATCTGAAGGTATCTTCAGAATTACGTTGTGGGGGTTTTGCCCAGAGCAAGGGTCCGGCTGCCACTGGGTTGTCAAAAGACCTGAAATGCTAATAATGCAATAAAAGCTCTGACATTTGCCCAGAAAAACAAGACAGCCGAAACGTACACCTCCAAATACCTTTTGCAGTTAGGCAAATCCCAGTAGCATCATTTAGCTACATGCATCTAAGTTAAGATCCTTTCAAAAGCTGGAATTTTGCCTAAGCCATTCCTTGCTACCCGCTACCCACCAGGCCTTACTAGCATCTGCCATCGCTCCTCACCACTCTGCCCAGCAGGGCCCCCGTCTTTCCTGACACCCATGCCCTCACTACCCCCTACCATCCCCTTGTTCTCCCTACAACCCCCGTACAGTTCCCCACATGCCTGCCATTCCCTGCCACTCACCCCATTCCTCCCCATCTTTCCTCCGCCGCCCATTCTCCCCCACCATCCCTCACGCATATGAAGTGTGTCCCTCTCCCACCACTGCTCGGCCCCAGGCCCAGCTGTCAGGCCAAGGCTGAAGGGTGGGCAGCCTGGGCAGCCGGGAACGGACGCCAGCACCTCTAACTGCATCTGACCCCAGAGCTCAGACCCAGGGGCCAGCTCCTTCCCGGCCCTCCCCGCTCTCCGGGTCCCTGAGAAACTCCAGCTCCTCTTGCAGCCACACTCCCAGGGCAGGGACCTGCTGCCACCGCACACATTTTGGTTCCAGAGTTTCCATCGGAGAAGACAGACCTGTGACAGACCTACCCCTCCCCCCGTGCAGGGGAACCACGGAGGCACCCCCCGTCCTGGGAGTCCCCTCCTGGATTCCACAGTAGGAGGGAGGTTAGGGGGCCGAAGGGCCTGCTGGACGACCAGGATCAGGGTCTGGCTGAGGCCTGAGCTCTTGCTGCGCCAGGCACGCGCAGAGGCTTGGGCGGAAAGAGAAATGAGGCCAATGGGCTGAGCAGACACGCGCACACACAGTGCCGGAGTGTCGGGGTGGCACGGAGGACCCACAGTGTGGACTGTGCCCCAAGTCCTCAGGAAGCCCCCTTGTCTGTGTTCCTCATGATGGCAGGGAGGCGGACATTGTCTAAAATCAGCACGCGATCTCCAGGACTGCACAACAAATGCAGCCCAAACCGAGTGGCTGGCTCAGACAGCCACGTCATCTCATTACCTCTCAAGGTTTCTGCGGGCCAGGGTCCGGGGAGGGGCGGGCCGAGTAGGACTGTCTGGATGGGGAAAGAGGGACTTCCTCCTAGGTCTGGTCCTTGGCCCTCTGACCCTCTGCCGTGCTCCTCACAGACCTCAGAGCCATCAACCAATACTGTTCCCTGCACAGCCAGAGATCCCCACCCACACGGAGCCCTATGGCTCAATGGGGAGGGCTGGGGCTCCTGGGGGTCCTGGGGGCAAGAGGGAACCAGCCCTGAGGGTCACAGGGTCATCTTTCCAAGTTCCCACGTCCTCAGAGCCAAGGTGCTCTGTCGGCAGGTTTGGGGGTGCCGAGCTGCCCTTGCAAAGCATTTTGGGGTCTCTTGGATAAAGATTTCAGTATTAAACATTAAGATTTTGCGATGATTAATTCTCGCCAGGCATGAGGAAAGAGCTGTAACTACATTTCAGTGTAGCATTTGAAAGGATTTAGTGATTTTCCATTAAAAAATTTTTTTTAAATGTCAAGGGTACAGATCTTTATTCGAGGACTCGGCCTATGGCAGGTTTCAGATTTAAAAAGACCCAGCCCGGCGATGGAAGTGTGAGACCAAGACCGGGGGGTGAAAATCTACAATTCAAACATTATGAAGCTGTTACGTCGTCAATTGGTTAAAAAAATCATCTCCGTGGAAAATTTTGTAAGCTTTCCATGCATAATCAACTAAAATGAACCCTTGTAAGAGCTTGCTTTCTGAATAAAATGATCAAGCTCAGATCAAAGGCATTGCTGAGGGGTCCGATCCCATTACAGAAAACCGAAATGAAGGCCCCGGGTTATGCTGTGGGGGAGACTGGCCGGACCTTGCTGCCCCCCTTCCTGGCCGCCTCTGTCTCTCTCTCCCCCAACCCTGCCTCTCGGCCAAGAAACCATGTAGAGGTGCAGTCTTCAATTTTATGGAGCCATGGGTTCATTGTAAATATTTATTAGCTATTTAGTAGACACAATTAAATTTCTGGCTGAGCTTTGCATGGCTATTTCATTAGAATTCGCTAAGGCCCACTTTCAAGTCTAAGTGGGTACCATAGAGTAGAGCGGTGTAGACATTAAAGTGCAATGAGCCCGACCGGCGTGGCTCAGTGGTTGAACATCGGCCTATGAACCTGGAGGTCACGGTTTGATTCCGGGTCAGGGCACATGCCCGGATTGTGGGCTCGGTCCTCAGTGGGGAGGTAACCAATCAATGATTCTCTTTCATCATTGATGTTTCTCCCTCCCTCTCCCTTCTTCTCTGAAATCAATAAAAAGATATTTTTAAAAATAAAGTGCAAATGAAGAATTGGTGCTGATCACAGCAGGTGGGCAGCGACTTCCTGTCCGTGAGAAGCAAAGGGCCTGGTCTGAGAGCCAATATCCTGGCAGAGGCCCGTGTCCCGTGCCTTCCATGCCCTCTGTGTGTGGGCACCATCATCTCTCCCCAGCACAGTCAGAGAAGTGGTGGGCTCCTTCCCCAGGAAGGAAGTGGGCAGGCAGGAGCCTCTCGGGGCTGCGCATCAACCCCAGCGCCCCAGCTGAGACCCGCCCAGAGAAGACCTCCGGCCAAAGTCACCAGACAGCACAGCAGGCCCTCACCCTCTGCTCCTGCTCCTGCTCCTGCTCCTGCTCCAGAGCCGGCAGCTAACCCCACTCGCCCACCCCCTACATATGTGCTTTCACCTGGTAAAAAGGGCCCTGGCCGGGAGATCCTGCTCCCGAGTGTCTCCCCCAGAGGAATGAACACACCTGTGCACGCGAACACCTGTACATGCGTGTTCATGGCTGCCTTGGTCATGCAGCCGCAGGTGGGAACCAGCCCGCTCTCCTTCATCGGCTCAGCGGAAACGCGGTGAGGGCTCTCCTGCAATGAACACCACGTGGCAGTGAGGGAACCGAGCACTGGCCCTGCCACCGCGCGAGGACCCTGCAATCACCACGTTCGTGGAGGCCCGCACAGGGACGCATTGCACAGGGACGCATTGCATTGCATGGGGACGCATTGCACGGGGACGCATTGCATTGCACGGGGACGCATTGCATTGCACGGGGACGCACTGCACAGGGATGCCCCGCGGGCCCGCAGTGCAAGTGCTCAGAACCACAAGCCCGGAGAGAGCACTGTGGTTGCTGAGCTGGAGGGCGGGACGGGGTGGCCACCAGCGGCGTGTGGTTTCTTCCGGGGTCAGGAGCTTGTTCTAAAGCTGGTTGTGGTGACGGTTGCACAACCGTGAGCGCACCAGCCACCGCTGGACTGCGCACTGTAACGCGGCGGGTGCGGGCGGCACTCGGCTTCCGAAAGGCTTTAGCGGCGCGCGAAGGGGATG